GTGGGCGGTACAGTGTCCATTACGTGGTTGACCTGGTTCAATACGTCATCAAGCTGCGAGCTGCAGTGAGGGCTGTCTCAAAGTAGCAACAGTTTCTGCTGTTCTGACAGTTAGCTGCAGACGTAAACGAGTAGCTGAAGAAAGTAGTTCCTCATACAAAAGGGTTTTTGAGACTCTCCGTGTTTTATTTACTTTTTTATGCACACGCTTATGCTGTCGAACTGTTGTATAAATGCAATATCACACTCATAGCAGCGCGATATGGCTGTATATTGTCACTGGTGGAACACTAAGACACTGCCTCGAGCCAACACACGCCTCCCACCAGTGCCGATATACAGCCATATTGCAGTGATACTCGTTTGATGTTGCATATATATATATATATATATATATATATATATATATATATAATCTTATTTTAAAACATGCTTGATTTTTTGTTTGTGTAAATATTTTTTCGTAGTTCATGAAAAATTTACAGATTTTGCCATCTATAATGACTGTATTAGAGGTTTTGTATGGCCAATTTGTTTTACTTACCTTCAATTATGTTTTACTCTATTACATAACTATAAATCATAAACACACAGACATTTTTAAGCGGTCTCTAAATTTCTCAAGCTGTATGCATACTGTGTCACAGTATAAAAACAGGCCTTACATTCACGCACTCTGCGGTAAATTATTCCATCCTGAACACTGCTAACAACTGCAGCACTGTCCATGGGAGATACAGTGGGCCGAAAGATGGGGGGGTTGAAGAGTGAGCTAAATACTGCAGAGGTCTGAAGCCCCCCCCGTCTGTGTCCCCATCCTACAAACACTGGCACGCCATTACATAACACTACTGCAGAGAGAGAGAGAGAGAGAGAGAGAGAGAGAGAGGGAGGGAGAAAGAAGGAGAGGGGTAATAAATCACACAGACTCACTGCAGGATCCTCCACACCTTCATCTGCAGCACAAGCACCCATTTCACACTGCAATCCCCACAGCAAGTGCAGACTACAGTACACTCAGCAGTCTCAAACTGATCATTTATGAGACGCAGCTGCTGACTAAGGCTGTATTGAGTGTGTGAGCGCTGCACTCAAAACAAAAATTATCACAATGAAGTTTATCATTACCTGTTTGTAGCCTTTTAATATTATTTAATTTGTCAGATTTAAAAAAAAAAAATGTTGTCAGGTCCCTTAAACTCAGTGGGGGAAATAAGTATTGAATATCTCACTTATTTTCTCAGAAAAAACTAAAATAAAATTCTAAAGGCTTTGATGTTTTCTGACATTTTCAGTCAAAACAATAAAAGAAATCCATACATGCAAAGAAAACTAGTTTACAAATGAAGGCATGTGTGATAAAATGAAATGAAACAGGGAAAAAAGTATTGAACACATGAAGAAAATGTGGTGAAATCAGCTGAAATCTCTCAGTAGTTATTCAGCAATCCTCTGCCCTTCCTCATTGTAAATTAATATTAGCTTCTTCAGTCCAACATGGATGATGAAGATGAAACCAAGATGGAGATTTCATCAAGACGATGATCCAAAACACAGCCAGGGAAACTCTCAAATGCTTTCAGAGAAAGAAAATCAAGCTGGAGAATGACCCAGCCAATCACCTGACTTGAATCCAATGTAAAATACGAAATAAAGCTTAGATTTGACAGACAAGACTCATCTAAACAAGGCATGTGACTTCATTCTTCATATGAGAGATGTCTTTAAGCTGACATCACCAAAAAAGCCTTTTATATAAAGTATTTAACACATTTCAGTAGTTCAGTAGTTTATCCTTGTGTCATTTCATTGTTATTAATACTGTAGATTCTACAGGAAATTCTTAAGTGTATTTGTTCGGACTACGTTTTTTTTTTTTTTTTGGAGTGTAGGGCACACCTGAACAACAGCTAAATCCATTCATTTGAAAAATAAAAGTCTAGTCAGCACATGCAGTTTCTGACCACTTGGAAATTGACAGTTTCTCTTGATTTATTAGGTAAAACTATAGAACCAGATTTGACCAAGGAGTAATTAAAAACTATTTCTAATAAATCGAGATTAAAGTTGTGAACTGGAAGTTGCTGTCACTTTTAATTTAGTCTGTTGATGTACTTGCAACTGATTAGTGAGTAGGGGGCAGGGCTTTCTTTTTGTGTATCATAACCTAATAGCAAACTAACGGTAGGAGCGGCGTGGTTAAGAATATTGTTTCTGAAAACGTCAAATTGACATTAACAGAGAAAAAAAAGGTCAGACTTTGATTGAAGATTACCAACTCTAATTAATTATTAAGGAGTATAATTGTTTTCCTAAATATACCAAAGTGCTTAAGGAAAATAATCATTAATTTTGATTTAACACAGACTTTGAAGTCACTATTTTGTGAGATTTTAATCAACTGAATCAAACTTAATTAAATAAATTAAATTTTAATTAATTTAATCTCATATTATAATCACTATTTTGCGAGAAAATTAATTATTAATTTTAATTTCACACTGACTTTAAAGTCACTGTTTAGTGAGATGAAACTCCTAAAATTTCAAGAAAATGTATTAAACTCAATTGAAAAGATATATAAAAAAAAATTCCTTAAGTGTAAAAATCTTAATATAATAACCTTTATATTTCTCGAAACATATCAACCTTTAATCTCAGAATTTATTAGGTTAATTCTCAACATTTAATTTTGACTTGTTTTTTTTCTAAATTTAACTAGTTTTTTTTCCTCAAAACAGTCAAAAAGCTGATTTTTGCTGTTTGTTTAAACTACTAATTTACAATGAGTTGAAACAACACAATTCAGCAGTTTTCTTTCAAATAACTTAATTGTTTTATGTTTAATTCACTTCAATGACAAAGTAAAAAACTATTAATTTAACATAATTTGTGTTGGGACATTTTATTTAACCTTTACTTTCAATTCAACAAGTTTTTTTCTTAAATCGCTCATTTTTTTTGGTTTAGTCCCTGATTTATCAGGGGTTGCCACAGTGGAACGGACCCCAAATTTCTCTAGTATATGTTTTATCCGTCAGATGGCCTTCCACCAGTATTCTCAAACACCAATTTCTCAATTTAATGACTTAATTCTTAACATTTTACTTTGTATTTTTTATTAAAATAAATATTTAATCACATTATAATTACTTAAATCTAAAATCTTTTTTATTGAGTGGCCTTAATCTTCCCCAGGAGTAAGATTTTGAGTAAAATATTAATGTTAGCTTTATATATATAATGTATTTTACTTAGAGAATTTTATTTTATTCAGAATAGCTAATGTTTTAGTTGTTTCTAAAAACACTCAAGAAAATGACATTTGCGGTTTGTTCAAACTACCTAAAATAAGCTTAAGGTTTGTGCTATTTTTGTGACTTATTTTTTTTTATGCCCAATCCTCTTATATTTGTAAAAACTAATCAGTTAACTTAATTCCTTTATGTTGTCCCAACACAAAACGATTGTGTGAAACCCAGCATTTTTTTTACAGTGAATGAAAACCACGGTTATTTCACTAAAAATTGTGTCTAAAAATTAACATAAACATCTGAAACATGACACGAAACCCACCCGTCACATTGCGAGTGTGTGTTTACAGATGAAGAAGCAGGTCTCGAATGTGTGTGACAGCCACAGCGTGCGATTACGTGTTTATTTGATTTCGTAACTCCAGCCAGAACAACCCTGAGGCGAAATGAAGATGAAAAGGGGAATCCTCCGTGTGCTGATGAGAGTGTTGTGGAATGAATTACAAGTGAAGTCATTTACGCAACACTGCCTGGATACCGAGTTGAAGCATGCGTAAAAATAGAAAAAGGGATTAAGTCTGTCGATTTTCTGAAAACATACATCTCACCATGGATGAAGAGTAGTGGGAGGTTGGCAGGACATTTATATGCTGTTGCTAAGGTAGTTTATTTTTAGGCTGCATTTGATTAAACGTATATATCCAAGAAAGAAAATTGTTCTATTTTAAAGCCCCTTTAACGACAGTCAACCCTGTGACGTCTAGCATATAAACATTAATTAGATTTGTGTAATACTGATTTTTTGTATTTGTAAATTAGCATAGAGTACACCAAATTTTATTAGCAGTTTTGAAAATAAATTTAGGGACATTTTTTTATTAATTACCAAATATTTATATATAACCTATTGCTATAAATCAGAACAAAGAACTATATAAAACTGTATTCATTAAAAAAATTTAAATTACATATGTATATAATTACACACACACACACACTCACCGGCCACTTTATTAGGTACAGCTTATTAATACCAGGTTGGACCCACTTTTGCCTTCAGAACTGCCTTAATCCTTCATAGCATAGATTCAACAAGGTACTGGAAATATTTCTTAGGTATTTTGGTCCATATTGACATGATAGCATCATGCAGTTGTTGCAGATTTTTCAGCTAAACATCCATAATGTGAATCTCCCATTCAACCACGTCCCAAAGGTGCTCTACTAGATTGAGAACTGGTGACTGTGGAGATCATTTGAGTACTGTGAACTCATTGTCATGTTCAAGAAACCAGTCTGAGACCATTTGAGCTGTATGACACGGCACGTTATCCTGCTGGAAGTAGCCATCAGAAGATGGGTACGCTGTGGTCATAAAGAGATGGACATGTTCAGCAACAATTCTCAGGTAGGCTGAGACGTTGGTTGACATGATGCTCAATTGGTACTACTGGGCCCAAACTGTGCCAAGAAAATATCCCCCACACCATTACACCACCAGCACCAGCCTGAACCATTGATACAAGGGAGGATGGATCCATGCTTTTATGTTGTTGACACCAATTTTTGACCCTACCATCCTAACATCGCAACAGAAATCGAGACATCATTTTACCAAGACGTAATTTAAAGTGCTGTTCAAAAAAGACGCGCCCACACGCACGCACACACACACACACTCACACACACACACACACTCACACTCTCTTATCTTTCAAGATACACATTTTAAAAACACACACAGGTCTTACTGAGGTTATTGCTCTTTATTAACCTGTTGAATGATGAACATCTTCTGACATTATAAAATATACAATCAGTTAACTGCACAATTGATTTTCTGGACTAAACACGTACTTAACCAACAATTAGCCGATCAAAACATTAATGTAAAAAAAAAAAAAATTAAGAAAAAAAAAATTACTCGTCTTCCTCTCCGTCTCCCTCTCCATCGCCTTCTCCATCTCCATCCATATCTCCGTCTCTGTCCACATCTCCATCTCCTTCCATATCTCCATCTCCGTCTCCATCCATATCCCCGCCTCTCTCTCGGTCTCCATCGCGTTCTCCATCTCCGTCCTCGTCTTCTTCATCACTAATGACATACTTTTTGGGCTTCTTTGAAGCAGATTCCTCATCTTCCTCTGCCTTCCTCTTTCCAGAGTTCTCTCCCTCCTGAAATACAAGACAAATATTAATCCCAAGTATATGTTAGTTCCCTAATGTCCACCTATGATGTTAATCAAAGTGTCTTACACAAAAAAACAATCAGAATTTAGTTTATCTTGAATATGTCCAGCCCCTCAGACCATCATTTATTTTTTAGCTCTGTAACAGTATTCTTGAATGACTATATGGAAATGGTCTCCTTCGTGAGTTGAGAGCCTATTAAACAACTAAAGAGAACAACTCTGATTTATTTTGTCTCTTTACAAATTATGGATATTGATATCAAAAAGGTAACAAGCAGTAATTTGCACAGTCACGCCAAGAATCTCAGAGTAATTTTTGATCCACTTTTGCAGTTTGACAAGCATGTAAATGCAGTTGTGAAGAGCAGCTTTTTCAAACTTAGATTGGTGGCAAAAGTTAAACCATTTCATCCTAAAAAAAAAAAAAAAAACAGATCTAGAAACTGTAACCCATGGTTTAATTTCCTCTAGGTTAGGCTCGGTAAGGTCCCATGATTAGTTTCTTTTGTCGATCCCTATGTCTCGCTGCAAATCAAAAGGTGATCGAGCTCTCTGTGTTGCGGCCCCAAGGCTCTAGAACAGTCTCCTGTTGAACATCAGGATTTCTCCACTTCTCCATAAATCTAAATCAAAGACTTATTTCTACTCCCTTGCCTTTGAGTAATTTCTTGTAATTTTTTTTGTAATTTCATGTAATTTATTGTCTATTTTATTATTACACATATACATATTTCCTTTTCTTACATTTTTAATGCAAGGGTTATTTTATTTTAATAAATATTTTGTTTCATTGTAAAGCACTTTGGATCAACTAAGGTTGTATAAAATTGTGCTCTATAAATAAAGTGTGCCTTGCCTTGCCTAACATCAGGACCATTATATTTTAATAAAGAAACCGAAATCAAGACTAAAGTCAGATGTTGTAATTCATCCTAATGGTGTTTTTCATCCAAAAAAGAAACCCGTGCGACTTTATTAAACTTCAGAATATAAAGAGACTTCCAATTTGCCCATCAAGTCGAAATGTGAGCAACCAGATCTTTCAATTTTAAACATTTGCAAATAAATTAAAAGCTGTCGTCAAGTAAGTCTTCAGAAGAAAAACATTGGGTCTCATTGACTAACAATTTCTAAGCACAACTGAACTCGCTTGCTCTTCAACTCGTTCTTCCGTTTATAAATTTGGAGTCTTCTAGAGCACAATTTGCATAATACACACCCAAACCACCCTCATATAATGCTTTCCACAAAAGCAGCACTTGTTCAGACAAAGATTATGATGGCAATTACACAACCATGTCATCGATCATAGTTCGATAGAGCAACAAATAATAACATAACTTCTAGTTGATCATATGGAAATATGGCAGAAGGTAGATTTCTCAGATGAATAATCTGTTGAGCTGCATCCCAATCATCACAAATACTGCAGAAGACAAATTGGAACGTACATGGCCCCAAGATTCTCATAGAAATCAGTCAAGTTTGGTGAAGGAAAAGTAGTGGTTTTGGGTTTTACATCAGTATGGGGGCCTGTGAGAAATCTGCAGAGTGGATGGCAACATCAACAGCCTTAGGTATTAGACATTTGTGCTGCCCATTACATTACAAACCGCAGGAGTGGGCAAATTCTCCAGCAGGATAGCCCTCCTTCTCATACTTCAGCCTCCATATCAAAGTTCCTGAAAGCAAAGATGGTCAAGGTGCCTTAGGATTGTCCAGCCCAGTCACCAGAGATGAACATTATTGAGCATGTCTGGAGTAAGATGGAGTAGGAGGCATTGAAGATGAAAACAAAGAATCTTGAACTTTGGGAGTCCTGCAAGAATGCTTTCTTGGTCATTCCAGATGACTTTATTAATAAGGTATTTGAGTTGTTGCATAGGTGTATGTATGCAGTCCTCCAAGCTCATAGGAGTCATACACAATATTATTTATTTTTTCACTGCACCATGACTTTATATTCTATACCAGTGGTCACCAAACTTGTTCCTGGAGGGCCAGTGTCCTGGGGCCTCATGTATCAACGCTGCGTACGCACAAAAACTTTGCGTACGCCAGGTTTCACGCTCAGAATCGCTCACGTTTGGATTTACTAACAATGAACTGAACGTGGGAATGTGCGCAGCTTCACGGCAGCTTTCTGGCAGGCGTACGCACATTTTTTGTGCGTGTCTGTTTTATTTCCATTGGCGACTTCTAGAGGCAGTTGTGTTAAATTGCTCTCTACAAAGTGTCTGAGCCTTGCAATGGCAGCTGTATGAGACGGGTTCAGCAGGTATATAAGGTTTCCATACCATACAGTTGACAAGCTAAACATTAAAGCACAATTTGCAGCAGTCGCCTGTTTTCCCAATGTAATCTGAGCGATCTACCGCACGCACATTGCTATAAAGACACTATCTGAAGATGAATTTGCATGCGTGAATCAGAAACATTTCCATTCAATAAATGTGCAAATAAAATATGATGCTTATTGATAGGAACTTATTGATGATTCCTACTTGTCTTTCTCGTGATAAATAGTTGGCAAAATCTGATATGTAGCGGGGGAAAAAACAAGAAAGAGTTCATCAGACGCTGGATTCGAGCCGAGATCATGCTTGAACGTATCAATTCATGATCACAAGCGTCTTACGAGTAGCGGCACTGAGACTGTTAAGCGTCCTGCAACATTTTACAGATATAAACCACACTATTTCTTTTTTTTAATGCACTCAGTGCGATGTTCAAACCCAACTGTGTTAACCGCATCAGCTAAACTCTCCCATTCTATTTTTTTCTTTTGTTGTTAATTCCGGAGAACAAACTTGCAAATAACACCGCTTTTCTCCGGTCTACCTCCGAAAGCAGCACCTCCAATTCACATTCTGTTCAAAGTTTCTCTTTTTGCTTGCTTTTGACATTGCTTTTTCGTTGGGTTTTGCCATTAGCATAGTCATTAGCATATTCATACGGGGGAGGAGGCAGGGAGGGGTTTTGTGCTCGTGCATGTTGCGCTCAGTTTCACGTTCATTCAGATGTACAAAAGAATATGCGTGAGATTCGGCGTACGCAGTGTTTCATACATCTGAATTTTTTTCTGCGTACGCACATTTACAGCTTTGTGCGTACGCAATGTTTTAGTAAGATTTCCACGCAAGTCTTCGTACATGAGGCCCCTGGAGATTTTAGCTCCAACCCTAATCAAACATACCTGAACAAGCTAATCAAGGTCTTACTAGGTATAGTTGAAACATCCAGGCAGGTGTGTTGAGGCAAGTTGGAGTTAAATCCTGCAGGGACACCGGCCCGCCAGAACCGAGATTGGTGATCCCTGTTCTATACTGTACATTATTTCTGTTAAGTTAGACCTTTCTGTTCTTATTAAATCATTAAAAATCAATGATCATATTTTATTTTGGTAAAATAAACAATCTTGAGGCCTTTCATAAAAGCCACTTCTGATATTAAATAATCAATTAGAAGTCAAGTTTTTATTTGTTGTTTGTAATCGGATCGGCAACAAGACTTTCGTCAGGTAGTGTATATCGCAGAATAACAGAATATCGTATTGGAGGAAAATTAAAGAAAATCATATATACACCTTATGCTATTCATATTAATCTCAAAAACATTATATACACCTTATGTTACTCACATTAATCTCTTCATATTTTTGGAACATATACATATATTAATCATGGACACTAATACATTGAGAGTGTTCATTAGAAAAAAAGGGTTTGACTAGCAATTGATTAACCAATCTTTTTCTCGTTATGTGATATGTTATACTAACTGAAGTTCTTCTTTTATTATGGGGTCATGTACTGGAACATTTTGTTCAAGTTCTGCTGATGAGGGAAATTGGCTGCAAGATATTGCAAGAAGGGGGCCTTGGTCTAGACTTCCTCTCTACCAAAAAAATGTGCAGGGTCACCAGAAGAGTATGGTGGTCACAAGTGAGAAATATGTTAAAGGTGCATTTAACTATACAAATTTTCTTTTCAGAAAGAGAATGGTAAAGGAGGAAATACCAAATATGCAGAGGAGCAGTCCGGAACTCACCCCTCTTTACTCCTTTTGTCTATAAAACTGGGTTTCTAGACACCGGGTAGTGCAGAGCACCTTGACGTTAGTCCGGGTTAGCATTGTATAACGGCTAGACTATCTTGGTGTATGCCCAGAGCTCTGAATATCGAATTATTCATTTGTATTCAATAAATTACTAATCTTTTAAGCATTTAACATTTTCTCCTGAGTTTGAATTGAACACGCATGAAATAGAGATAGATATTCCAACAATCGCAATGTTAGCTTTTTCCAATATCATGCAGCCCTACTTTGAAGTCCTTTAGTTTGTGTGTTTGTTCACATATAAAACCTTTATACCGAAAATAAACACAAGACAATGAATTAGAAAAAACCCTTTTGTAGATAAGGCTGCTGAAAAAGCTGGCGGTCACAATCGTGCATATGATATCACAACCATTACATTCTTTATTTCCCAATAATTGGTCTGTTTGGACCGAAAGTTTCACCTCATCGCTGTCCAGTCTCTTGGCCTTCATCAGTCGCTGGGCCTTGTCTTCATCAGAACCTTCATCGCTGTCTGACGAATAGATCCTGGCTCGTTCCTCTATGACCCACAAACAAACAAAACAACATTTAAGCACAGCTCAGAATTCAGCACTCCTTTCCAAGCATTCCAGAGAGATGTTCTTTCAGTAAATAAATACCTCTTACTGGCACAAACAAATCAAACTGAGCAAACTAATCTAAATCTCAGTCGGACTCCGGCATAATGCAGTATTAAGGAGCCGGCAGGTAATCGGCTAACGGGCTGTAACAGTTACTGTCAGCGAGAAAGTGTGTGCGTGAGACGTGCTGTTTTGGGAACACAAGCTGTTGTTGAAGGGCAGAATGTTCTGGCTGATCGCAGCAGGTCCCAACCTCACTCAAAGAAATCCGTTGTGCAGAAACATTGACCCAAGAGGGAGAGAGGGAATACAAAATAAACGACAGACACAGCACCCCACCGCCGTTCAGAGGCCATTTCGACTGACCTACTTCATGTAGAGACCATCCTTTTTGTGTTTATCATCACAGCTATTAGTGCAGATGAGGTTTGGATTGGTGTCAGAGTTCAGTTCTATTGGTTTTAAGGGGGATTTTCAAAAAACGAAGTACTGAGGTTCTGATTCCACCTTTTGTTAATCTGACTAAAATAGCTCAAATATTTTGAGCTTATCAACTTTCGACCACTAAAAAACACACTTTTGTTGACTAGACGCTTACATTTTTTAATTCATTCTCTTTCCCAATGGGCCCAGTAGTCATAGCGTAATGGGTAGGGAGTTGGACTCAAAACCCGAAGGTTGCTGGTTCGTGTTTTAGGTCCAGCAGATAATGTAGGTAACTACCATTTTTTTCCACTCTTAAGCCTGCTTTATACTACTGCGTTCAGCGATTGGCGTGACCCACGGTGCATTCAATGTATGTTGCCCTTTTATTATACTTCTGCATGCTGTTTGTGTTGCTCTGCATTTACACTTCCGAAAGCTAGATGGCAGTGAGGTTTATTTGTTCTTCTGTGTCGATTTCTTCGCTGGTGTTTTGTTTTTTCTGAACGCTACCTTAATGTACAAGTGGTTTAAACCCGCTCATTTTGAGCAGGAACCAGCAGACGTGCAACAACTTTAATCATAAAGAAAACACAAGACAACAGTTTCCATTTGGGGCTCCTTCACAGGATTCGATAATTGTAAACACTCACTCCAACGGGATTGCATGGCTCTCGGTTCCATCCACACTTGTTAAAGCTACCAAGTCGACCTATCACAGAGCTTGCACTATTCATCATTGCGACATTTTTTGAGAGGTGTGCGTCAGCGTCAGCCACAGCAAGGGCTATGCGACCACGCGAAGGGTGCGCCGGAGAATAAGTGTGCGCTTGACGCAGAAGTATATATCAGCCTTTAGGCCCAATGCCAATTCTACCCCTTAGCCCTTACCCCTCGTTACATCTATTCATGTGTAGGAGTAGGGGTGTCCCAATCCATTTTAGCTTTTGGGCCATATAGCCCTTAAAACAATGATAAAGTTAAAGATTTTTCAGGACCATACAACAACCGAAGAAGTGTTTTCTCTGACTACACCAGCTACAGCAGCAACATGGCTGCAAAACCGAGCAAGGACAAATGTTAAAAAAAATGTAAGAAGTGCATTAATAGGGATTTATTACATTCATAACGTCAATGTGTTATCTTTAAAGAAATGTTTTGAAAGAATAAAAATTAAATACTACATTTCAACATGGCTAGCCCATTAATAACCACTTTTTTCTGGCAACCCTAACCGATGACTTTGATAGAATAGTCCAGTCTGTTAAAAAAGTCTGGTGGCAGTAAAATAGCTTTTTACAGCATGTCTGATTTAATGTTAATGTTGTTTCCTTGTGGTTACATCCATGAATATGAGCTCGATGTAAATGCACAGAATAGTTTTGTGCTTCTTGCAACACTCTGAGGCTCATATGCGAGACGCACTGCACTGCTCTTTTGTTGATGTGCGCTCTTTGTTTTACTCAGCAATCAACGGTCTCGGTGCTGACATTAAAAACACGAGTTTTTCAGTTCATTAATGCAGAAGATTAGCGTCAACACTCCTAAATTATTTATTTATGAATGAATCAAAAACATTTGCTCCATGGAGCTCGCAATTTGTGCAAATGACGACATGATAAAGTGTGCGTGTATAGTAGTGGTGTCCCAATCCATATTTCCACCTCTTACCCTTAACATTCTGTTTCTAGAAACAAAGGGTTTAAAATAGAATTAGAATTGGGCTTTAATACCACAACTGAGAAGAGACTCTTACCTGCTCCCTGGACACAGTCAGGATCCCTTGTTCAGTAATTAGGGCACTGATTAGGGCGTCGGCCATTTTAAGGGCTGTCTCAATAGCAATTTTTTTTTCAGTGCATCGAAACAATCACTCCATGAAAAACAGGAAACATCGAGGTTTACTTTGTCCCCTTAACGGAAGTTCTGACATGTGAAACATAAATGACATGTAGAAACTCACCAAATAAAACGATAAATTAGAGACTTAAAATAAAATTTAACTATTATCAATTAATGGGGCGATTTTTAATATTTTAACCGTTTTGCCTGTCCGTTTAGATGACAATGATGAATTGATTTTAATTGCATTTGATAATGCTATGAGCAAAGTGTGGATTTACTTAACATTTCAACCTTACAAAATTATACATGCACACCAGCTCTGAGTGACTGCCAATTCATCTTCACTTCCTAACAGGTACTGCTTATTATCAAAGTGACAGTGCCAAATACTGGCCGGGCATGTGTAATACATCGTTTTTAACTGTTTTCGTAAATGTGTAAATGCATAGGGTAAAAATCTTTTTCATTTTTGACTACATGGTCATGTAAATGCAGCCTATATCCAACCATAAATTAGCATTTGTTATACAGGTACAGAACAGTCTGGCAAACATTTATAAATGGTAAATTGTTGAAATGAAGCCGGTATATCTAATTATTTATCTATCAAGGAGTTTAACACTTTATAACATTAATATGTGAAAAACAACAGTTATGTGTTGATGTTGTATAAAAAGTACGTCCTCATATGTCACCATCAGTGTCCCAATGTGTAGTGAACCAAGCTCCTTACTGTCCTTACCAGTGGCCAAATCTGTTTACATGACCTACTGATTCATGACCTCGGGAGCTGACTTAGATGCACCAAGTGTGTGTGAGTGTGTGTGTATGTGTGTATGTGTTAAGTTATGTGTGCATGCACAAATGCGCAGTATGGGTCACCACGTGTCACTTAACTTTTCACTTTCATAAGTCACATTACATCTGTTCTATAGTATTAGTGCTCCTTTAAAAGTGATGTACAGAGTAACGCAATAAAAGAGATGGTCAATCCAAACACAAGTGGTCAAAAGAGGAACATCTTAACCTATGCTAACGGCAGGTGGGGTGGAGGGAAGGGGGTGGGTGTGAGGAAGGAAGGAAAAAGGAAAAAAGTAACAAAAGTAGGAGCGAATGAATGAAGGAAGAAACAAAGGAAGAAAGGAAGGAACTAACGAAGGAAGGAACAAAGGAAGGAAGGGGTGAACGAAGGAAGGAATGAACAAAGGAAGAAATGAACAAAGGAAGGAATGAAGGAATGAGCGAAGGAAGCAAGGATTGAAGGAACGAATAAACGAAGGAAGGAACAAAGGAATGAACAAACGAAGGAAGGACCAAAGGAACGTATGAACGAAGGAAGGAATGAAGGAACGAAGGAAGGAATAAACGAAGGAATGAACGAAAAAATGAAGGAATGAATGAAAGAAGGAAGGAACGAGCAAACGAGCGAAGAAACAAGCAAACGATGGAATGAGCAAGGGTGCTAACGAATGAGCAGGCAAAGGAATCAGCAAAGGAAAGAATGAACGAACGAGCAACAGACAAACGAGTGAACGAATGAACATGTGAAGGAGCGAGCGCGCAAACGAAGTAACGAACAAATGCACAAACGAACGCTAAAACAAAGGAACGCATGCACGAATGAACGAAAGAACGCACGCATGAACGAACGAAGGAACGCTTGCATGCATGAGTGTCTGTGACGGAACGATTAAAAAAACAATATAATTCGGCAAACAAAAATGGTTCCAGAGGGATGAAATCTTTAACAGAAACAGTGACATTTTGTATAGCGTTATTTCTGCAAGTAATGTGGATGAAGAAACAACAAGTACACAATTAGCATGTCTCAAAATGCGCAATATACTGACACTGAGAAGAAGAAACTGTTGAATAAAGCAGCGTTTTTTGTTTCTTGTGCTCACAAAAGTATTCTCGTAGCTTCAAAATATTCCGATTGAACCATGGCAGGACTGATTTGAGGATTTTTTTGGGTAACTTTCTAAACTTTAAATGAGTCATTACTGACTATGGAGGATCAGTGACCTCTTAGATATCTCCTAAAAGATTTTTATTTATATTCCTTAATTTTAATAAACAAAGGTCTTGGATTTCTCGGAAATTAACTTCAGCAGTTTATTAGAGAGCGCACAAGAAAATCTACGCTTGAGCAGTGTATATTTGAGGATGCGCAAGAAGTTTTGTGCAGAACCAAAGGAAATCGACATGCAAGCAAAGAGATTTGCATGGTCGTATTACATAAATGCGATCTCGACTTGTGATACTGTGCTAACGACATTTGTCATAGGTAGTTGGTAAATCTGTGTAAAAGGCCTGCCGCCACAGCTGGAAAAAAAAATACTGTATGAAACACTGTACTAAATAAGAAAAAAGCATATCTCTAACATTCAATGAAATTAAATTGGATATATAAAGTTATATACAAAATCGGTTATTACAACCAGTGTTTAAAAGCTTTATTTCAACACTGAACTCGTAAAAACTGGTAAATGTATTAAAATAGTAGTATTTTGGGGGTTTCATTAAGAAATTTGTTTTTAATAATTCCTAAATAAGTAAAAAAACACATCTCAGACATTCATTTAAGCTAAATATAAAGTGATCATTCTTCGGAATGAAAAACCTATTACATATTGAATCTGAAGATTTCATGTCTTCATTCGTGACTCTCAATGGCTGTATGTATGCTTTTGCACATCCCTTACCCCTTAGACCTCCTCCACCCTTATATTTGCTCTTGATTGCAGCCAGGCTAATGGACTCTTCACCCTCTTCGTCCTCATCGTAGCGGTCAGGCTCCAGGTAGCCGGCGTTCAGACCTCGTTGATGCTGTTTCTCTCTCATGCGCCTCTGCTGGGACTCGCGCCTGATGGACGCACGTAACCTCTCCTCTTCTTTCTGCACAGAGACAAAAACAAATTAATAAGCTTTGATGTCGCTGCATGATTACACCGAATGAACGCATCCACATCCTAGTTTGCCAGCCAACGTGGAGATAAATATAGATGCATTAAATCTGAGCAATGAAAAAGGACCCAGAAACTAAACCTTATTGGATTTAATAAATCACTTCATTTATTACATTTTAATCCAGGATTTATGACTTTCCCATGACTTTTTTTCCCATCAATCAAGATTACGAGGCTGTAAAAGGTTTCTATTTTTATTAAAACAATTTTACAGGGATTGCTGAATATTGTGCCGTACATACTCTACCGTGCTAAATACATTTCTTATGATCACTAAAAGGCTAGTTTATACTTCTGCGTCAAGTGATCGGCATGACCCATGGCGCAAGCCTTGTGCGTTGCCGTGCATTTATACTTCTGAGTGCTGTTTGTGTTCCTCTGTAATAACACTTCCGAAACACTATCTGGCAGTGAGGTGTTTATGTTCCTCTGTGTCGAGTTTCTTCGCTGGTGTTTTGTTTTTTCTGAATGCTTCCTTGTGTACAAGTGGCTCAAACTCGCTCATTTTGAGGCAGGAACCGGCAGACATGCAACAACGTTACCATAAGGTAAACACAGAACAAAACTTTCCATCTGGAGCTCCTTCACGGGACTCAACACTTGTAATTACTCACTCCAGCAGACTCTCACGGCTCTCGGCCCTGCACACACTCATCAGCACTACCAAGTCCACCAATCACAGATCTTGTGCTATGCGTCGTTGCAACGTGTAGTTACATTTTTTGGGAGGTGTGAGTAAAAAAAAAAAAATTGGTGAATTTTCTTCCTATTTCAGGCTGGATTTCAAAAAGTTGGTTTTCTGAGCACTGATCCCATTCTCCAACTAGTCAAAAGCGGTTTCGAAAATTGCTTATAGTGTTTGTACTATAGGCAGTTCATTATATCAAAAACAGGTTGTTTATTTTATAAATAGCTTTTTAATTTTTTTTATTTTATTAGTATTTGGGGGGGGGGCACTTTTTGATGGCCGTACTCACACTAGGTACAGTTGCCTCGAACCGGGCCAAAGCACGCTTGTCCCCCCTCCCGTCTCCCCCGACGGCCCGCGCTCACACCACAAACGGGCTTCAGGACGCTTACGTCATTGACGATGCTGTGCTGTTCAGTGAGAATCACTCTCTCACTCAGCAGCACAGTGGAGATTTCTCTAGTTATATCGTTTCAGTCGTTTGATATGCCGTCAAATATTTCGCCAAACAGTCCTTAGGGATGCGGGGACACGCAGTCAGATATTTCGCCGAACAGATCCGCCACTTTTGGTGCTCATAAACAATCATAAAGCCCTCGTGCTGCAGGAATGAGGAGGTCTGCTGAAGGAGCGCAGCTGTCATGCAGTGAGAGGTTTGCGTCTTTAATAAACTACGGCAGTTTGCGTTCACTGAACAGTAAGAATTATTAATAAATCCATATGAAACAGCCCCTTAAAAGTCACGTCTCGCTTTCAGTTTTGGTCTTTGGCGCGTTTTGCACTCACACACAAGCGTACCACGCCAAAGCCCAAGTGAACCGGGCTCAGGCACACCTCTTCCAACCGGAACCAGGGCCGGCCAAGTGAACCGAGCTTGAGCCCGATTCAGCGCACTCACACTTCTCAAACGATCCGGGAAACGGGCCTGGGCAAGGTACGGATGGCATAGTGTGAGTAGGCCCTAAGTGTATGGTATTGTTTGTATTGTTTTTGAAAGTATATAGCATTTAAAAGAACTTTTGAAAAATATTTGTAATAAAAGTCCTTCCAGAATAAAATTATTATTTTCTTTTTCTCTTTAAAAATAATAAAAATCCTCCTGACGCCACACATTTGAACTCCAGTGTATATACACAGTAAATTGAAGCACAGTTAAATCATAAATGGGTCCAGACAGCATAAACATGCATTTATGGATGATAACTACCTCTATAAAACACTTTCAGGAAAACTTGTGAAATAATTGAATAGCTTTTCATTTACAGCAGTTATTATCCAGAACAATTCAATTCAATTCAGCTTTATTTGTACAGCGCTTTTACAATGTAGATTGTGTCAAAGCAGCTTCACATAAATGGTCATAGTAACTGGAACAGTGTGGCTCAGTAACTGGAACAGTGTGGTTCAGGTTTTAGTGTTTAAGTTCAGTTCAGTTCAGTTTAGCTCAGTTCAGTGTGATTTAATCATTACTGAGAGTTCAAACACTGAAGAGCCAATTCATCGATGCGTAGCTCTACCAATCCTGAACCATGCGAGGCAGTGGCGACAGCGGAGAGGGAAAAAGAAAAAAAAAAAAAAAAAAAAGAACACTATCACCACTCCAACTCTAGCAGGGCTGTCTAATGGTGTCTGTGTCTGACTTATGGCTGTTCATCTGATATCAAATCTGGCTCTTTGGACATTAGACTTCTGGTCAGATAAACGAGAGAGAAGAAATTGATAAAAAAATTAAAAAAAAAACACACATTTACAGTACTTCAGTTTTCAGACAATCTGTTTAGATAACAGGGCTCAAATCATAGGAAAAACTGCAGCCAAGATCTACTCTTTGTGTATGTGTGTATGAAAGTGCTGTGAACCAAGATGGCCTGATCTTCAGACTCTGATTAGTCTGTTATATGCCTGCTGTCTTATGCAATAAATTATCAGGGCCCGTGTTCACAAAACATCTTAAGCTTAAAGTAGCTCCTAACTTGCTGGTTTAGTGATTTAGGAAAAAACAATCTTTAAAATAGCGACCATGTCAATCCTAAATTTAGGACTCCTATATTTTGCTTTAAGAGTATTTCACAAAATATTATAGTGCTAAAACTAGCTCCTAAATCTGTGAAACATCAGAGTGAGAGCAATGTCATGCGTTATGGGCATAAATCACGCCGTGGAAATGTCATTAAAATACAGACTGGTTTAAAACAGCCTTAATTTAGATTGAATCTAGATTAAAAGAAGATGGCCAAATAAAAACGTTTCCGCCATAAACTATAGTAAAACAACTTTTAAAAAAATGAAATCCTGCGAACAGATTAAATAGAGGAATGAAAAAAAAAAAAAAGAGCGCTCGTATTATTAGCTGTCAATCAGCGCCCGCTCTTTATTTCCCTGGTCATTGCATCTTTGTTGCGTACAGTGTAAATGCAGTCAATCGAATAGGAGTCATGTTTAAAGATGATGTAAGTGGGTCGTCAAAAAATCAGATATAGACACAAAATTGGTATTGACTGTCAAGATCTGCAGAGTAAATGCAGCCCAAGATAAAGTTTTACTACTAGTTAGGAGAACTCTTAGTGGTATGATAAACTTGTGAATGCAGTTTCAGATTTTTACAAGAGTATTTTCAGAAATGAAATGACTAGAGCTGAGTGTGTATGCCTGTATGCAAGGTTTTCTTTGAAGTTTCAAAACATACTGCTTAAAATCCTTCCCAGGACATCTTTATGACCTAGTTCCTACCCTAAATCTCCAGCTTCTCAGGAAGGAGATTATTAAGGAGAATATAGTCTTACAGCGTTTCTATATCTGTGTTTCCATCAGTCTTGCGGTAAGCTCCAATGAGAAAAAGGAAAAGAGTGTGTATGTTTTACCTTGATCATCTCATTTCTCTGGGACTCTGGGTCTCTGCCAGCCATGGGCAAAATTCGGATCTTCTGTGTCTTTGAACAGCGGTCGGCAAGAGAGAGCGTCATCTTCCTGTGTGTGGCGCTGTCTGTGGAGTGAGGTCTACAAACACACAACAAGCAGGTCAGAGACACACAATCGCAATAGAAATACACAATCTTGAATAATTTAGAATAAAAAAAAAATGTTAGAATTACCACAATGTGTATTATTTGTATGCTTCATGTATTTTCTTGTAATTCTGAACAACTGAAAAATATGTACTTTCCATTCAACACACAAAAGAGCCCTAAACTCAAATCCTGATGCTCATGTTGTAGGAAATGGTGATGTCCATGTTATTTGTGGATCCTGAGAGACCTCTGCTGGCAGATTTGTGGCTGTTCAACAACTCACCTTAAGTAATCCATCGGGAAATATCCAGCTGCAGAACCACACACTTTTTAGACACACACAATCTAGCACACACCATTTAGGCAAACCATATATGATAACTAACTAACTCCTATAGCATTATCACCACCTATTGAATTTTACAAATATGGTTTTCCATTTCAGTCATTATTATTATCATTATACCGTAAAGATCATTTTAACATCTCTGCCGTTTCTGAACTCAAATTATGTAAATAAAAATAATGGGTTAAAGACACTTATGACTTTATTCATGTGTCCACATAAACAAAGAACACATAATAGACAGTCTAATTGTAGCATTAAGCGTAATAAACTAATTCAGGATCTTAATCTGATCATACTTGGTTAAAATCACTTTGTTGTAAAATATAAAAAAAAAACAATAATGTCACATTAAAATGAATTAGCCTACTATAGTTAATCATTTAAACAATAAATAACATAGTTAAAAACTGATTATCTTAACTGATTATCTGATTATAATCTATTATCTTATACTAAACTGTCACAGCTGTTAGTTATATATACACATTTACTTTTTTATTAATTATTAATAGTTAATTTGTTTCTATTGCTAAATTTTGGTTTAAAAACAATATATTGCTTACTATAAACTACTACAGTGTTTAATGTTGGAAATCATTAATTAAAAAGTTATTAGAAAATTAAGCAAATAAACACTATTAAATCGCTTGAGTAAAATATTAATATAGTGTTATGCATGTTACATGTAAAAAGATGTTTATTACATATAAAATGTATTATTGCCTATATTAACTTGCTATTATTTCATTCACTATAAATGAATCCATTATATAAATTAAACCTGTTCAATTTAGATCATTCAGCAAGGCCAGCAAACGAGTATCTGTATATTGTCAGATAATAATGACTGATCGTCTTTTATGACTGATAGAAAACTGTTCAGTCAATTATATTGAATGTCGTTCGGAAACAACGCTTCCCATTCGCCCGTCTTGATCGCTATATTTGTGAAATAAAGTGAAGTAAACACTATTGCTTATTGTTTACACTATCTATTAACCATATGTATCAAAAATATATCAATGACGATGTTCATTTTATTTATTTTCTTGTCGGCTTAGTCCCTTTATTATTCCGTGGTCGACACAGCGGAATGAACCGCCAATTTATCCAGCAAGTTTTTACGCAGCAGATGCCCTTCCAGCCACAACCCATCTATGGGAAATTACGCTATCGATACACACACACGTCTCACCATTTCCTGTGCTTATCGTTGAGATCTCTGAATACACGAGGAGAAAGAACAGGTGAAACACACACTTTCCATCCATAGCCCAAGACACACACACACACACACACACACTTCCCCTGGCAGACGTCTGTATACACACACATAATCACACACACACTCATACACTATGGACAATTTAGCCTACCCAATTTACCTGTACCGCAAGTCTTAGGACTGTGGGGGAAACTGGAGCACTCGGAGGAAACCCATGCGAACGCAGGGAGAACATGCAAACTAAATTGCAGAGGCTCGAACCAGCGACCCAGCAACCTTCTTGCTGTGAGGCGACAGCACTACCTACTGCGCCACTGCTTCGCCCATGACAATGTTCAAAAAGACTTTAATAACATTAACAACCGTCGTAACCATATATGGTTTGCCTAGATTGTGTGTGCCAGATTGTGTGTGCCAGATTGTGTGTGCCTAAAACGTGTGTGGTTCTGCGGGCCTGCAGCTGGATATTATTGAATCCCATCAGCTACAAACTGGATTTAAAGCAGGTTTTAAAGAGACAGTTCAACCAAAACTGAAATGTTTTCCCACCCTTTCACGCACACTCATGTGGTTCTAAACTTTTATGATTTTTGTTCTTCTGTTGAACAGAAAACAATATATTCTGATGAATGTTAGAAAAAGCAAGCCATTGACATCCATAATAGGAACAAAAATACTATGGAGGGAAATAGCTGCATTTCCCAGCATCCTTCAGAATTCAGTTTTCTGTTCAACAAAACCTCACACAGCCTAATGTAATTTAGTAAGTAAATTCAAATTTAAACCAAGTACCTATTCAAGTACTACGTGATTTTTACCAGAGTCTTTCTGTTTCCGTTTCATTTGAATTAAAATAATAATAAGTGCTGACAAAGAGTTATTCATGATTAACTGCACTAGGGGTCTGTTCTTCATACCTCGCTTGTTTTGACGAACAGATCTATTGTTCCTCAAAATCATGACCAGCAATCCAACAATTGGCTGATGGCACAGCAGCGTAATGACATCATCTGATTAATATTCAATTATCCATGTCAGCAAAATTACATAAAATTGTTAAATATGAAACACAATAACTTTACACATTTGTTATGGGCTGCAGGCTTTACACGTTCAAGTGTCAAGAGTATTTAGCAATTTATATAATTTTATATTTAGAGCAGATTTTCTTTATTATAGCAGCCTATTAAAGTTTCTTAATCGGCGTAAGAATTAACAGGATGTTCAAATTAATGATGCATTACAAAAGCATTTTGATATCGGTAAAGGTGTCTGCAACTTTTGTCAAGCATCAAATCACAGGCATATTAGCTGTCATAACACGTGCATGACTGCATAAATTATTATTCTTTAAAAAATAAAGGTCGAATATCCACACTATTATCATACACAAATTGTACTAAAGCTGGGACAGTATCTAAAAATAGTTTGTAACTAAAAAGTCCATATTAATAAATGTTATCTTTGAACCCTATGGGGAGAACAACCCTGTGACAGTTGTTGTACTTTAATTGCAGACTGCAGATTGCATAGGTTGTAAGTATATACATATATATATATATATTTTACTTTATAACTTAAGCTGAAACTATATTTAACTACTATAGTAAGAAAATATCAGCATTTGGTGCATAGTTTCAGTATTACCTTTGCTTGAAAAGACCTGATCTAATCCTGTTTATAGAAAATAAGCCAGCTCCTGAGCAGGTTTGAGCTACCAGAACTGTTGATATGACATCAACTCTATGATGAGTGTCAAATCGTCAGCTAATTGAGTAATCTACGTACAAAGAACGGCCCCCTAAAATTAAAGTTTGTTTTTACATAATATAAGTGTGCGCTGTGTATATTTATTATGCATATATACATACAAACATACTTAAAATACAAAATTGTACAAAATTAAAATGATGACATTTATATTTATATATAATTTGTTTAGATAAAAATGTTTTACACTACCGGTCAAAAGTTTGGGGTCAGTTGTTTTATTATTAATTTGATTTAATGATTTAAATAAAATTATTCTGTTCATCAAGGCAGCATTTATTAAATGTAAAAAAAAAAAGAAAGATAAATTAATAAATACTTATTTATGAAATATTTATTTATTACTTATTGTATGTAGTTTCAAATAAATTACTCCAGTCATTATTGCTTTTATTACTATTATCATTAATAATAATAATAATAATAATAATAATAACAACAACAATAATAATTTATATTAGAGTGATTTCTGAAGGATCATGTGACTCTAAAGACTAAAGTAATGAAGCTGAAAATTCATCATTAAAATCAATTAAATAAATGATTAAATTAAATTATAAACTATTTTTAACAGTTATTTATTTTATAGAGCAATAACATTTCACAATTTTACCATATGTACTGAATTTTTGATTAAATAAACTCAGCCTTGGTTAGTAGGATAATCTTATTTTAAAACATTTAAAAATCCTACTGACCCCAAACTGTTGACCGGTAGTGTATATATAAAATACAGAGTGTGTTTATTTATTATTTTTGGATGTAATTAATCACGATTAAATGTTTGACAGCACTCATAAAAGAAAAAGGCTAAACAGCATTTCTGTGCAACAAACTGCTGCCTAGTAAAAAATTACCCAACAGCCCCATCTAACGTCCAACTACTGATACATGACTTTTACCAATACTATACACTGTTGATAGTAGTCCAACAGCTGCAGAAAAAGAGGAAGTGTAAAGTTTGTGTGTGTCTGTGCAGTGAAAAACTGAATCCACACAGACTCGTGTGTACTCGTGTGAACCTAAATTGCTAAGAAATCATACAAAATATTGTTTTTTAATTAAATATGCAGATGTGTCCTGTGAGAGCTGAGTTTAGGGGTTGGGAAAAGAATATACAACTTGTACAGTAGAAACATCATTACTATGTATGAAAGTCCCCACCGGGATATAACAACACATTTGTGTGTATGTGTGTCGCACCTGAAGGTGAGTTTGGTCTTGAACACAGCCTGACCCTGCAGTCCTGTGCCCTGGCGGATGAACAGGTGATTGTGGTCACCCTGCAGTGGAGCTTTATACACATCAAACACTTCGTTCCCCAGGTGCAGAGACATGCTGTGAAACACAAAAGTGATGCTGATTTCCACAGTTCTGTTAATTTTTTTTTTTAAATCATTAGAGCATTTTGAGGCTGATCACACAGATTATCAGATCCATTCTGAAAACGCAAGGCACACTGCACTGCCTTTATTTTTGGTTGACAAGAAAATAAAATAAAAAAAAAGAAGTGTGCTGCGCTTTTTTTTGTCGCTAGGCAACGCAGGCCCGGATAAGGAATTTAAAGGCCCCTGGGCACAATGTCCTTTAGGCCCCTACCTGACTGCTATAGTTGAATGGACAAATAAGATGAGTATAATATTGTTTTAAAATAAAATTAATCTACAACATATTGCCCAGATTTTTTAAATAAATGATATACAGTACATATATTTCTAGTCCACAAAGATTTAACTTATTTTAAAAGCTTTAAAGCAAACTTTAAAAAAAAATACCAATACAACTAGTGAAAATTAATGGATTTTAATATACTAGTTTAAGTTCACTGAAGCAGCACTAAAAACGGATATTTAAGGGTATTGTTTAATGTATAACTTCTACAAACTTATAATGCATATGATTTGGATATAACACCTCTCCAATCCAGTTCTATGAATCTGAGTCTTCTATAATACACACACTTATTCATGATTCCTACTTGTCTTCCTCGTGAGGAAGAGTAGGCAAAATCTGATATGTAGTGGGGAAAAAAATAATAACGTGTTAATCAGACGCCGGATTTGAACCGGGTTCATGATTGATCGTGTAAAAAACGTTGCCATGCGCTTTACGAGCTATGCCACTCATGCTGCTGTCTATTGTGCTCTTTAGTTATGTTGTCTCTGTCAATCAAACGGTGATGGGCATGAATCACTTAACTAGTTTATTCCAACAAGGTGTGCTATTTGCACTTAGCCTAAATAGACACTCCAAAATCTGCATTTTCCCCCCCTCCACCTCGAAGGGGCCCCAAGTGCGCACGGGCCCCTGGGCCTGTGTCCATAATGCCTGCTGGTTAATCCGGCCCTGAGGCAACGACTATATCTGCTGCGTATTGGGTGCGAGCGTTGCTATTAATATTGTTATAATTTTAATGTTACATAATATTGTTAAGCATGAAAGTTTTGGGAAGTCATACAGCTCCGGATAACTGGAAACAACGACCACTAGTCTCTTCTCCATCTTTAAATGTCTCCTTAGTCATCTCAACAACACAAACACTGCTGTCACCTCAACGAAAACCCCGCCTCTGCTTTCATTTGATTGGAGAATGAAAAAGACGCAACTGGCGTAGTGCGCTTTTTCCTCTCAGAGTTTACTTTTTTTCAACTGCTTACACAGAGCGCTCGAAACACTAATTTCCATTAGCAAACCATTCAAAAGAGGCGCCTCCCAACATTAAAAAGCACATTTGGTGCGATCACGGTCTTAATCAGCATCTGCCCAGAGGTTTCCTCACCTGCCGTCAGACCATTTAACAATCCTAGCATTGCTCTCCTTGACTTCATTGCCCTCCTCATCCCGTCGAGAGCGCCACCTGATGGTGTTCTCCACCTTTAGCTTTAGACGAGTTCTTCCTTCCTCGTCTAACATCTCCTCATCCTCAAACTCATCCTCATAGTACTGAGGGTCGAACGGCCTGTGAAGATACAGATGCTTGATTTACTGTTTGTTTAGAGAAGTTAGTGACTGCCTCCAGCTCTTAGGTAGATTTTCGCTCACCTGGGCTCCACACTGAGAAAGTTGGGTAATTTGACGAAGTAGAGATCGCTGCCCAGGTCTGTGCTGACTTTAGGTATCTCCACTTCAATCCTCGTCTCTGGAGCTGGCTCTTCCTCAGGCTGATCTCCCTCCATTCCGTCATCTGCATCCTGTGCAATCAGTTCAGCAGATTCATTTAAGGGACATTTCAGCCCAATATTAACATTTCTCATTATTTACTCACGCTCAAGTGGCTCTAAACTTTTATTCATTTAATTCTTCAGTTGAACGCCAAAAAAAAAAAAAAAGATGTTCTGAATATGGTTGGATTTCAGCAGCCATAAACATCATAGTGAAAATACTATGGACGTCAATGGCTGTTTGTCTTTTCCAAAACATTGTTTAGTATATCTTCATTATAAACTATAATGTATAACAGATGAAAGAAACTCAAACTGGTTAAAAATAAGTGGCACTTGTAAGTGATAAAATAATATAAATATTAGGGTGAAATATCTCTGTAAATTAATGTATAATGTAATTAATGTGCATTGTAATGTATAACTGCAAATTGAAGGATTATGTTACTTATGCTGTGTTCTCACCACACGCGGATGAAGCGTCAAGCACGAGTGACTTACATCTTAAGTCAATGAAAAAATGCGTTTAGAAAGCCTGCGGCACGATTTGCGAGAATGATGCAATTTGCGCGAATTAAGCTGCGCAAGTTGACCATTTTGTGCGGATGAAGCGACGCGAGTTGACCGTTTTGTACGAATGAAGCGGCGTGAGTTGAGCATTTTGTACGAATGAAGCGGCGTGAGTTGAGCGTTTTGTATATATAAAGCGCCGCAAGTTGAGCATTTTGTGCAAATGAAGTGGCACGAGTTGAGCTGTTTGCGCAAATGAAGCGATGCGAGTTGAGCGTTTTGTGCGAATGAAGCACCGCAAGTTGAGCGTTTTGTGCTAATGAAGCACCGCAAGTTGAGCGTTTTGTGCTAATAAAGTGGCACGAGTTGAGCGTTTTGTGCGATTGAAGCGCCGCAAGTTGAGCGTTTTGTGCAAATGAAGTGGCGCGAGTTGAGCATTTTGTGCAAATAAAGCAGCGCCAGTTCAGCGTTTTGTGCGAATGAAGGGCACGAGTTGAGCATTTTGTGCGAATGAAGGGCACGAGTTGAGCATTTTGTACGAATGAAGCAGCACGAGTTAAGCATTTTGTGCGACTGAAGGGCGCGAGTTGAGCGTTTTGTGCAAAAGAAGCGTCGCAAGTAGAACGTTTTTACGACCGAAGCAGCAGGAGTTCAGGGTTTTGTGCAAATGAAGTGGCACGAGTTGAGCGTTTTGTGCAAATGAAGCAGCGCCAGTTCAGTGTTTTGTGCGAATGAAGGGCTCGAGTTGAGTGTTTTGTATGAATGAAGCGGCGCTAGTTCAGCGTTTTGTACGAATGAAGCAGCACGAGTTGAGCGTTTTGTGCAAATGAAACGGCACGAGTTGAGCGTTTTGTGCAAATGAAACGGCACGAGTTGAGCGTTTTGTGCAAATGAAACGGCACGAGTTGAGCGTTTTGTGCAAATGAAACGGCACGAGTTGAGCGTTTTGTGTAAATGAAGCGGCGCGAGTTGAACGTTTTGTGCGAATAAAGTGGCACATAAACCACAGCTACTCTCACAGTAAAATCCATGTTAGCCATTTATCATCAAAGCTAGAGTCACTGGGCACTAGTCTATTGTAAAGTGAATTTGATGCAGGAATTAAACGAATTTGACATGCAAATGAATTGAGTAAAGTCAAAATGTTCACGCATCTATTGATTCAATTTATTCGCGCGTGCGGCAGGATGAATGCTAATACTTAGGTAAACCAAGTTTTATACAAAGATATTTCATTTATTAAAATATCTGTGTAAATCTAAAGCGCGTGATAGGAGCAGGAATTATTATTGTTGTTGTTATTGTTATTATTAAAAATATTTGTATTAATCAATTACTAATCAAGATGCATTTCTATAGTCATAAAACTACTGTGCGGTAAAATTACAAAAAAAGCAATTTAGACAAACCATTGGATGGCACAATTTGCTCAGGGGAAAAATCTATTCACACAGAAATTATTTTGGCTGGAAATTCGATAATATTTACATATTACATATTGTATAATCAGATATAGTGCTTGAATATACAATTTGCTAAATCGTTATGGTCCTGCCCTTTGGTCATACAAGACCAAAACAACCACTTTTCACCCAAAATCTTAGTATTGTTGTAAAATTCATTCACATTACACAATAGTTTTAGGGTCGAGTATTTTTCTGTATAGGCCAGGGGTGTCCACACTCAGTCCTGGAGGGCCGGCGTCCTGGAGAATTTAGCTCCAACCCTAATCAAACACACCAGAAGCAGCTAATCAAGCTCTTACTAGATATACTAGAAACTTCCTGGCAATTGTGCTGAAGCAAGTTGGAGCTAAACTCAGCAGGACACACAGCTGACAAATACAATGTTTGAAGCGTCTGTCACTGCAGGAACATGTTTCAACACACTTTTCTTGTCATATTGTGTCTTGATTTGCAATAATAAAATAAATCATATTACAATCTATCTACTAAATAAGATGGTTTAGTTAGGGCTTGAGCTACACTAAAAATTGACATTTGCTGTTTGTTCAAACTACTTCTTTAAATGGAGCTGAAGCAACACAATTCTTGAGTTATGTTAAATGTTTGATCCACTGAAATTCGTAAAAACTAATAAGTTAACTTAATTCCTTTATGTTGCCCTAACACAAACCGATTGTGTGGAACCCAGCATTTTTTACAGTGTAAATCTTAAAAAAATGTATCAAATTTGCTTTCCAGCAGTTTAAATTGAATCAGAAGTTAAGCATGTAAATGTCTCACCAATGGTTGGCCAGGTGTGAGAGGTTTCTCTGCATCGCTGTCTGACGAAATATCATCTGCCTCCCCAAAAAGATCATTTGCTGCAGGCTTCTTACCTACAAACACACAAACAGTTCAACAGAGCTGCTGTGTGTAGTGTATGACACTGTGTTTTAATCATAGCGAGCGTCTGTCACTCACCACCCTGTGTTTCAGCATCAGAGTCTGAGTCCGAGTCCGAAGCAATCTTTTTCTTTTTCTTGCGTGTGAAATCATCCTCGCTGTCACTGCCCTTAATCGACTCTGAAATTAAGAATAACATATGGCTTTTACATTATTAATACAAGCCTTAATCAGAAAAGGTGAGAAAGTATGGAAATTGCTAATAAAAAAAAGAAAGCAGTGATTCCTTAATGTACTTTGACTTGTATTTCATTGCAAACAATATGAACACAAAATATAAACAATATGACCACAAAATATAAACAATATGAACACAAAATATTTCATGTTTTGTCTGGTCAACTTTGCTGCCAGTTAAAAAAGTTGGGACAGGAGCAATTTAGGGCTAGTAATCAGGTAAATTAGTTAAATGCCCCAACTTTTTCTGATTTGGGGTTGTATCTCTTTCTCAGGTTTAGCCGTGTTTTCGTTTTTAATAACTAGATGAGAGCATTTGAGGTGCAAATTTGTGAAGTTTATGTTCCGTTGTGTTGTTCTGTCACAATTTTGTTATGGTGTAGAACAAAATGTCCAAGTATCGTCACATTGTTTACCACAGATTTTATTTTAATTATCTATAATAACTAATAGCCCTCGTTATGAAAGCACATAGGAAAATCTCAAAGGGACATCAAAGCAAATACGTCTTCTAGGTTTTGGTGTCAATCCTGAACCACTTTTAGGGTGCTTTTTTACGAATTGATTCAGTTGGTCCGAAACAGGGATTAAAAGTGTTGCATTGTTGCTCTTGGTGCGGTTCGCTTTCACACAACAAAGTTTCTAAACGGACCAAAAGAGCTTAAACAAGTCACGTGTGAGTAAACTCTTCTTACATTCGTCAGAGTGTCAGGGTTTATTTTGCAGAGTCTCGTTTAGCTTTCAGGTTAGGTGGTGGTTTGGTGGTGTTTAACAAGGTGTGCGCGACGTGTCTGAAGAGCGAGGAGAGATGCGATGGGGAGGGGTGAGAAGGGTGTGCGACGTACTTGAGGACCGGGAGGGAGATGCGATATTATCAGGAGATTATCACTCATTTGCGGGCATCCGGGAGACTCCCGAAACTTCCCGTCCTACTCATAATTCTCTTTTCATATAGCCATATGCCTATTACATATCCATAAAACATTGTGATGTAACTGCACTCGGATCATATTGTTTTCTCACTGCAATCAATCCGCTCCAGAGTTTGTTTAATCGAGCCGAGACCACCTCATTTAAGCAAACTCGGAGCGATTGATTTGGCATGGATCCTAGCGGGATTGCTGGTTTCACATATGCCAAACGAACCGCTCTAACTGGGCAAACGAGACAAACGAAACAAAAGTGTAGGTGTGAAAGCACCCTTATTCTACAAATTTATATCCCACTTTATGTATTGTGGAAGTCAAACATTTACAGATAAAGGTGATTCAATAAATCAGAAAGTTTATTATTTTAGTTATAATATTGTGTAAAAGCCAGGTGTGATGAAATATTGCACAAAATTGGTCGTAAAGCTGTAAAATAATTACTATCATCTAAAATAAGTGCTTTAGCTAGCAGCTACATGACATTTTAAAACAGAAATAAATCTATGTTAAATGTAAAACAATATTAAAAAATTATCATTTATATTACTGTTGTATTATTTATATATTACAGCCCATAACATTATGCAACTTAAAATACATAATAAAATATATATTATATAAAACCACATAAAATTAAAAATTCACCTAAAACATAAAAGCAAAACTATCTTTGCACTCTATGTATATTTGCATCTAGCACTGATCCCGATACTTGGATGTCTTGAGCATTTAATTTTTTTTCCTCTGAGCTGATGTGCTTTCATTTTCTCCATCTCACAGCGAGTTTGGGCAAGGGAATGTTCATTAGGTAAACTGGCCTAGTTTATTAAAATATTAGGCTTTGCTAAAAGGATCTTTTTTTTTACTAACGATTAGGGTCAATAGTGGTAGCCTACTAAAGATTTCAACGAAAAATCTTAATAATAAAAAAAGAAACATAAGCTGGACCACAACATATCATATCAATGTCATAACGGATGCTCAAATAATGTAGCCTAGTTTACAGCAAGCATCATGTTTTTAGCTAGATTGTGCCGTCTGACATTTAAAGTAGGCCTATAGGTCTGTTATTGTTACTAAAGAAGCTAAATTATTTGATTATTATGTTATCAACAGAACTTTAGAAACTGTATTATGTCAAAAAATGTAAAAATATTGCAGTATCAGGATCGGATCTATATCAGTCGATAACCATAATGTTGGTTTCGAGATTGGATTGGTAAACAAATAGTATCAGTGCATGCCAACTAGTATCGGTACAACTGTATAAATAGCCTTGCATTTACTAACACAGACTATATTTGAATTATTTGGATCATTTTAATAGACCTCACCTGATTTCTGCCTCTCCCCTTCTTCATCAGATCGCTCCCTCTCATCATCAGAGTTCTGCTGTTTGTCCTCGTCCTCCGACTGGTCACTTTTTCCATCTCCACCCCACTTCTCATCTCCAGAATGGGCATCTTTCCCTGACCCCTCTCCATCTGTATGTGGGGTTCCAGGATCCGAATGACCACTTCCAGCTTCTGAGCGTGGACTTCCCGCCTCTGACCCTGGACTTCCACTTCCTCTGTCCGACCTGCGGCTTCCTGCTCCTGAGGCTGGACTGCCTACGTCTGACCTGTGGCCTCTGTCATCATCATCCTCATCATCCTGCTCACCACGATGGGCCTCAGACATGCTGTGTTCATTGTCAGAGTGCATGGTGGCGTCTGATTGGTTGCCCGATCGCTCTGATTGGCTCCCGCTGTGCTGGCTGCCACTGTGCCTACTGCCACTGTGCCTGCTGCCGCTGTGCCGGCTGCCGCTGTGCCGGCTGCCGCTGTGCTGGCTCCCGCTGTGCTGGCTGCCGTGCTCATCTTCACTGTCGTCTCCAAACAGCTCTTTATTGCTAGGCTTTCCGCCATCTTCATCTTCATCATCATCATGATCTCGGTCACTCTGAGCACTCTCGCTTCCAGAAGCGTTGCTGGCAGATCTTGGTCTCTCATGATCCGAATCAGAGCCAGAACCAGAGCCGGAATCTGGAGAAAACACATGAATTGATATAATAATTTACTAACGTGTTACTTTGTTTAGTTATACACAGAACGCAGACCAAAAAAAACGGAGTTTTCACTAAAATGAACATTTCCTCACTATTTAATCTCCCTCAAGTGGTTCTAAACCATTAGAGTTGCACGTTTTACCGGTACTTCGGTAGCACCGCGACACTATGGGTCCAAAATACAAGTGGTGCCTCTGTAGTTTGTAAACAATAGTATCGTCATTAACGATTTTACAATAGTTAATAATGCATGGGGAAAAGTCACTAAATGCTCTCACATTTGTGCCGGCAAATAATCAGTAGACCATCATTATCATCATCATCATCATTATTATTTTCATCCGCTTATCCGGGGCCGGGTCTCGGGGGCAGCAGTCTTAGGAGAGAACACCAGACTTCCCTTTCCCCAGACACTTCCTCCAGCTCCTCCAGCATAAGACATAGTCCCTTCTAGCATGTCCTGGGTCTTCCTCGATGCATCCTGCCGGCGAGAGATGCCTGGAACACCTCCCTAGGTTGGCGTCCTAGAGGCATCTGAAACAAATCCCCGAGCCACCTCAGCGGACTTTTCTCAATGTAGAGGAGCTCCAAGCTCCTCACCTAGTCTATAAGGGTGTGCCCTGCAAGCCACCCTGCGAAGTAAACTCATTTCAGCCGCTTATATCCGAAATCTTGTCCTTTCGGTCATGACCCAAAGCTCATGACTATAGGTGAGAGTAGGAACGTAGATTGACTGGTAAATTGAGAGGTTTGCCTTTTGGCTCAGCTCCTTCTTCACCACAACAGACTGGTAGATCGAAAGCATTACTGCTGCCGCTGCACCAATCCACCTGTCCATCTCAAACTCCATCCATCCCTCACTCGTGAACTCCTCCACCTGGGGTAAGGACTTTCCTTCAACCTGGAGATGGCAAACCACCTTATGTTGGTGGAGCACCATGGCCTCGGACTTGGAGGTGCTGATTCTCATCAGTAGACCACTTAATTTTAAATTAATCTTAACAGTCCGACACTTCAAACACTCATCTGAATCAGTTCATTTTCATTCCTGTAAATATGATTTAGCTACAACTACCGCACCACAATCTCTTAAAAAAAAAAACAACTCACTAAAATGACATTTGAAATTAGAACAGGAAACAATAAATACCTTATTTGTTTTTACTTCATATTTGTCCCAAGCAGTAATAAATAAAACTAAAATAAATAATAATTATATATATATATATATATATATATATATATATATATATATATATATATATATTAAAAAAGTATCTACATTATAATAGTAAGAATAGATTATTTTACATGTGTGTGAGTTAAATCACTGATAGTTAATCATTTATTTGATGACTTATTTATATATTTTCTGCCATTGGTAGAACTGTATGTCTTCAAATAAGAAACCATATGTTTATCAAATATCAGTTTTAACAATAAACACAGAAGCATGTTTGTTAAAACGTGACATTAATAATACAATAACGTTACAACGCAAGGTAACATTACGTTAGATCTATGACGTTACATTAAATAAAAAAAATAATTACACGAACGTATCTAGACTACAAGGTAGCAATTTTATAATAGACACTGTAATAATTATTGCTACTGCTGTACGTTACAGTAACAAATACTGATTAACTTATCTGGAGTGATAACTTTCCATACCAACGTTAATCTGGTAAGTTAACGTTAAGAAATATTTACCAGAAGTGATGGCATTGCTAAAGGCCGACAGTTACATCTAACGTTCACGATTAAACGCTAAACGAACGACCTATTCATAGAAACATACTAAAAACACACAAAAGTAACGTTAAAGCTTTTCTAATGCCAAGTGTTATATGAATGTACCTCGTTGCTCATTGTCGCTATCGCCATCGCTCCCGAACAGTTCGTCCATATCCGCCATTTTCACAGGCTGTAAAAATATGATCAACATCCGGGTGAAGGCTTTTAAAACTTTACAAAATAAAAGCCATTGTGTTTTTTTTTATATACAAAAATTTATAAAGTAAAAGCCCTTGAAATATAAAAAAAAAATTAAATAGACCCTTAAATGTGACTCATGATTTTGAGATCCATTTTTACACTAAGGACAGAGAGACTAAAGACTGAAAGACAAAGGTATATTACAAAAACTGACAATAATTTACTGATGCCCAAGAAGGGAAAGCAAAGTATACTGTATCCAGGAGGTGTACTGTACACCGTTTGTATTGGATGACTGAGGTTAAACTGTAGCCTACTTATTTTGTCTTTTCTAAAACAAATATTTCTGCTGGGCAATACTGAAAAAGCATTATATGCAACAAGAAAGGCACATATCATTATCATTCATTCAATCATATTCTTTTTGGCTTAGTCCCTTTATTAATCTGGGGTTGCCACAGCGGAATGAACCTTCCAGCGACAACCCATCTCTGGGAAACATCCATACACACTCATTCACACACAAATACACTAAGGACAGTTTAGCTTATTTAATTCACCTATACCCCATGTCTTTGGACTGTAAGGAAAACCGGAGCACCTAGAGGAAACCCACGCGAACACGGAGAACATGCAAACTCCACACAGAAACGCCAACTGACCCAGGCAAAGCTCGATCCAGAGACCTTCTTGCTGTTAGGCGCTACCCACTGCGCCACTGTGCGGCCTACAAAGTATAAATCTCAGAGCTGTATTTAATTGATTAGTCCAAGTCTCTGGATTTGTGGTAACTTACAGGTTTAATAATGTAATCCTAAAAGTATTTTGGCTGTTTCAATTTTTGTACAGTTGAAGGACTTGAGGTTTCAGCTCGTAGGGGGAACAGATGGGCGCAGGTTTTCCTTGAGAGGGATTGGCAGGCACAAGTGATCCTTGTGTGAATTCAGTGGGTACAGGTACAATATTTCCTGTGGGCATGAAAGCTCAGGTTTTGGTTGAGAACAGGTGGTCACAGGTACTCCCTGGGAGGATTTTGGAGAAGACATGATTCTCCTTCTGTCAGAAGTGACAGAAGAACAGCCACACCTCCCCTTGTCTTCTTTGGCTGCTGGTGTGCAGCTGAAGCTTTTAAGGCTTCTGCATTATAGAAAGCCAAACAAGTGAAACTATAGGCATAGGGGAAAACTTGTGGACGTTGGGTTTTCTTTCTAGAAAGAAAAACACATCACTTGCTTTTTAGACAAGACTCACTGAAACAACATCCACCACTTTGACACTTCCTCTTCAATGTTGAGGTGATAAGCAGTTCTCCTTGAGATAAACCAGCAGCCATTGATGTTCCCTGTGAGAATAAAATGGGCATGGGTTCTCTTTGCGGAGGAACAAGTACTTCCTGTTAAAAACTGGCAGGTTTGGGCCAATTTTGATGATTGACAGTTGTTCATCCATGATCAGTATAATTATTTGAAGTTGTGTTTTGTCTACTTAATACTCTATGGTAAAAAGAGGAAAGAGATTATCTAAGCAAAGTTTAACAGTATATTTCCTTTGCTTGTACACCACTCCTGATCACATGACAGACTAATTACTACTGTTGAAGGTTGCTGATTCGAGTCTTGGCTGGGTCAGTTGGCATTTCTGTGTGGAGTTTGCATGTTCTCCTCTGGGTGCTCTGGTTTCCACCACAGTCCAAAGACATGCGCTATAGGTGAATTAAATAAACTAAATTGGTTGTAGTGTATGTGTTTAAATGAGTGTGTATGGAAGTTTCCCAGTGCTGGGTGTCACCGGATGTCAAGGGAGCGAAGACAAGAGGTTGGATCCAAATGCAATTTTTAATGAAAAAGATTATTCGTGCAGGCAAAAACAAATTGGGTCAAAAAACAAGAACTCAGGTATCATGAAGGGCATCAAAAATGCAAAAACAAAGCAATGATCAAAGTACAAAAAGTTACAAAACAATCATCAAAACATAACTAGAAAAACTAAACATGACGACACTCACTGAAACCATACAGGTACTGACAAACAAAGATTCCGCATAGACTGGTGTGTGCAATGTGTATAAATAGTCCAAACAATTGATGATGACGATATTCAGCTGTGTGTGATTAATGGTGACTGGTTTGTGCAAAGGCATGCTGGGATATGTAGTTCGTGAATGACATGTGTAGTATGCCAGCTATCTTTCAGGAACAGATTGCTGGTTATGTGACAGCTGGGTTGCAGCTGGAAGGACAGTTAAAACATATGCTGTATAAGTTGGCGGTTCATTCCGCTGTGGCGGCCCTGGTGAATACAGGGCTAAGCCAAAGGAAAATTAATGCATGAATGACTCCTACAGACAAAACCGCAAAATGGCCATGGACGTAAAACTTAAACAAGATTTTTTTTGCCTTAAAATTATGAATATGCATTGGTGTGTGAATGTGCTGTAAAAATATTGTAATACAGTACTATCATATTTTGTACATTTATATTTATTGTAAATTAGGGTGCTTTTTTTGTGACTCATGCATTCTGTTGAAAATGTCTTTTGTGTTCAAGGTTAACATATTCTGAGTTACTCCCAAGAGCAGTTTTGGAATTGGCGTTTACCTTGAGTAAACAGGTTTGGGGTAATCAATCTAAAGTTCTCGATTAATGTGATGGTAAGTTGCTTTCTGCAATACTGCCTTGGTACTGTTTAAAATCCCTAAAATATAGCATATTTTAACGTCACTTGGTGAAGGGTTTGTTAGCTCTTTATATGACAAGCCATTAGCATTACATCATGTTATCACTTAACAAAGACTATCAGTGCCAGGGACTTTTCAACAATGTGAAGGGAAATGATGTCAGACACTGGAGAAACAGAATTTGCTTCTGAAACTCATCTGTTTATCAGCTTATACTCAAACCTAGTGTCTGAACATTGAGCACTCAAAAGCAGAACATGTTACACATACACAGTTCACTCAACAAATAAAATTACATTATATGCCCGTTACCACTGAGTGGGACAGTATGGTACGGGTCGGTACGGGTCACCTTTATCAGGCTTGCATTTCCACTGCCCCTTTGGAACCCTTTTGGTGGGTTTATCGTACGACAAAAGGTTTCAGTGGATGTCATTCTTGCTTCAGGAACTGTCAAAGTAAAGCTGTATGGGTCGTTCACATATCATATGAAAAGCACTTCTCACAAAACAGATGCTTTATACACATAAATACTTGTGTATAAATTTTCATTACTAACCTTTCTATGAACATTATTTGATCATAACTGCAGATCAATGAAATGAAATAGCCTACCATAAAGTCTGCAATTATATAAGATAAATAAATAAATGCAACATATATGAACACATACAGACCCTTACAGTCTCCGATATGTTACTAATTACAGTGAAACTATACATACAGCATACATTTAGTCCTTATTTGGCTTCAAAAACAACACAACACATAGCTCACAGTCAGTGGTAACCTTTCGTCTGTATCTTTAAACTTCACCAGCACCTGTAACCTCTTTTTAGAAAGTAATTCCTTTATTTAAAGTTCATAATAGTCCAAAAGATGACGATAATAAACTTGTTTTTTCGGCTTCTCCTTTGCTTTTTTGCGCTTCACCCTCATGTTTGTCCATTTCTGAAAGGATCGGATGTCAAAAGCACTTCAATAATCACGCGCATGTTATTATCATAAACTCAAGACGTTTGTTTTGTTCAAATATAGATGCACAGCGAGCGCTGGCGAGAAAGTAAAACCGATCGTGCTTTAGACGGTCTTTGTAAACAACTACGAGGAATAGAGTAGTTCCGCTCTACAACAACAATGACAAGGTTTGTTTAAGCTCGGGTTAACCATGGCTCGTTATGCATATATTATTACAGTGTAATATCTCGGCTGTGTTTTTGAAAATGGTGGTTGCTTTGTTTTCATTCTCCTGGCTTATTGCACGAGTGAGTGATGTATCATGTAAACCAATAGCGTTCAGCTGCGCATCTTGCGCCGCCTTTTGGTACCTTTTTGTTGTGCTAGGTATACCTTCCGAAAGCGTACCCAAGAAGTGGTACGGTATGGTTTGCTTTTAGGTACCTTTTGAAAGTGGAAACAGCCATAAAAGAGTACCAAGCTGTACCGTACGGTACTATACCACTCAGTGGAAATGGGCCAATAGTGTCAGCAGATAAATTTAGGAAGTAAAATGAAATGAGGCTGAGTGTGCATCATCATAGGCTGCACCAATGGCTATTTAAAGGTTTACAGGTTCTGTTTAGAAGCATATCGTTCTTTTATCCCCTAAAAAAATTTATGTGCTAGTGTTTTTGTTTTTTTCTATACGTTTATTAAAAAAAAAAAATCAACTGTTAAAGCTTATTCGCACAAACTGTCAAAAATTCCTCAATGGCCAAATATTCCTTCTTAAAATGTCTGTATTGAGGAAAAAAATTAAAGTCATTCCACGATGACTTAATAGCTCTGTCTTTGTAACATTGGGAAGGTGTCAACCTGCTTTTCTTGAATAGCCCCAGATTCACACAAAAAAATATGAAATCCAATCAAATTTTAAAAATGAATGTCAACAAGTCTTGTTTTATTCGGAATGAAGATTGTTTTGGGCGATGTGGTGGCGCAGTGGGTAGCACAATTGCTTCGCAGCAAGAACGTTGCTGGTTCAAGCCTCGGCTGGGTCAGTTAACATTTCTAGGTGTTTGCAAGTTCTCCCCGTGTTTGCGTGGGTTTCCTCTGGGTGCTCCGGTTTTCACCACAAGTCCAAAGACATGTGTTACAGGTGAATTAGGTAAGCTGAAATTGTCCACAGTAAATGTGCCTAAATGAGTTTATGTGTGTGATTGAGTTTATAGATGTTTCCCAGTGATGAGTTGCGGCTGGAAGGTCATGCGCTGCGTAAAACATATGCTGGATAGGTTGGCGGTTCAATAATAGAGGGACTAAGCTGAAAATGAATGAATGAATGAATGAATGAATGAATGAATGAATGAATGAAGATTATTTTTAAAATGTATAAAAAAATACAGGATAAATGTTACGTATTCAACAGCTCGCACTGATCTAACCAGTTTACAACAGGTTTTCAGTTGTATCAAACTTCTTCCTCTTTGCAAGGTGGGTGTTTTAATGTAAATTATTATTTAGTTTTAATTATAATATATTTTGTTGTTAAAAAAAATAAATACATTTTTAGCACAGGAGCCTATTGGAATTTTTTATACTTACAATTTTTAATAAATTTCTAATTATAAAAAACTACAAGAACAATATAATGAAAATGCAGCCCTTCTAAATAAACCAATAAAAATAAAAATAGTTTGCATTCAGTTAAATAAACAATGACCGCATCTGTGGACTTCAAAACCCATGCTCCTTTGTCTCCCCGAAGCTTTATTCCCTCTGATTTGCTGCATGTCACAACTAGGCGGGAGCTGCGCTTAATGGGCGTCCTCTAACATTCTGATTGGCCGTTACACACGTCAATGATCAGCGCATTTCTAGTATCTGGTTTCCTGTGTTACCGCCCTTGGGCTGAGACAGTGAAGACGGCTGCGGGAATTTCTTAGCCTTCCGACCAGGAATAGGACACTAAAGAGTAAAACGCGTGCAGGAATTTCTCTAAGGTAAGAAATATGCTTCATCCTTCCTCAGTGTGTTGTCATATATTAAGGTAAAGGTCATAAATGTGGAGGTTTGTGTGGTTGAGTGGTTAGCTCGCTAAGCGCTCGAGCGCTGATAGACATCCGTATGAGTGTAGATGGGCCAACAGTTTACGATAATACATTGATCAATGAACTTTAAAGTTATCATTTAATCATTACACACTTAGCCTATTTATTTCGATAGCTACTGAATGACATACACAAACTGGAACAAAACTAATTAGCACATGCTTCAATGAATCAAGGTAACTAACACTAAAGTCCATATGTGATACGGACACCCAGTCATAGTAAATCATAGGTTAGATGTACTGTCAAAATTCAATTACGTCTAACTGAACGTTAAGTCTGATTTACATATGTATTTAAAAGCTAACTATCATAAGGCATGTTTGAATTATGTGTATTGTATCCTAGTATTTCATTAATGACTTAATTATAAATGTTAGTCTTTATCATATTGGGGTTGTGTAAATGAATTCATATCCATATGATGTACATTAAATGAAATATTAGCAATATATAAGCATTGCAGACGCTGCTCTTCAATGGAGGATGCCTAATAATCTGTTGCTTATGCAGATCATAGTTGTGCTTAATTGTATGTCTGTTATGATGACGTATTATTATTGGGAGTCTCGAGCGAGCCCAGATGTGTATGAGCTCATGTGTCTCTTCATACCGGGTGTGGTCTCCACCCGGGGCGTGACTCTGCGTGGCTTTACATAACTGACTCTTGGGGTTTTAATACATAGTTTACGATAACACAATATAGAGCATTGTGAATGTATGAGAACGAACTGTTCCCAAACTTGAGCTCCTGAGGTCATAATACTGTTTATTTCTTTGTTTTTGTCAATGAAAACATTCACTATTGATGATAATGCTGATGATGCTCCTGTCTGACTTCTGCTTTTTGTGAAATGGCACTTGTCTAAAGTTATCTAATGGATGCTTGATGATGTGCTGTAGCTCTTACTCAATAAACATTTCAAAACCCTCCATCTGGGTTCCATAAGCCTCGATCTCTGTCTCTCAGAGGAAGTGCTGGATGAGAATGATCTGAAGATTCTCAATGTTGTCACTCTCAGGGGTCCGGCTAATTTTAGATGTTTTTTTTTCTTTTCTAGAGTAATGAAGCAGATCCCCTCACTGAGTTTTATTGAGTACATTCTGATCTGAAACCAGATAACCGTTGTTTTCTTTTTCTGTTCGTATAATCTGTTAATGTTTTAAACAAGCAAGGATGCATTAAATTGATGAAAACATCAAGACATTTATAATGGCAGAAAGGGATTTACTGAATAAAAAATTATGAGGCGTACTTTGTAATCTTTTAGCGATTTGGCCTAAAATCAAAATCTCGATTAAATGAACATTTCAACTCGATTACGATTAACGAATGATTATTTTACTTATTTATTAATTTTTTTTGCCCTCTTAGTTCACTGATTAGTTTTATATGCCGTCTAAGGCATCTCTGGTGCAGCTTCCAATTCGTCAATGTAGTGCAAAGGAAGGCTTAAGAATGAATCCATCTTCATACTTGACCAGAGTAGGGTCATGGGCCGGTTTCAGATTTTGTATTATAACCTTGGATAAGAATATCACGGTTTCACGGTATTGTGATCACTGCTCTAAAATGTACTCTTTTTAAATGTCTAAGTTGCCCTTTTAAACACTATATATTTCATTTTGTGAAACATTTAAAATATTTTAAAGCAGTAAACATGTCAGGCTAATTAATTCAAATGAATCACTGACTTCTGTCTTTTTTTAGTTTCAAAAACACAGATTTCTTTACAATTTAAAATGGCATCTTTGAATATCTTTTCTTTTGGAGATTCTTTTTTTTTTTAATTTTTTTAAGCAAAACAGTATCTGAATAAAAAAAAAAAAAAACAACAACATACACATACCTTGGGAACAATATAGCAGAAAATTTTGATTGTTTTAAAACCTTGACTTTTCCAAACCAAGGTATACCTTAAAAGCTGTTATCGTCCCATGCCTAGCGGGGTCATGTGACACGTAGAGAAAGTAATTGAAAAAATTGTCCTGGAAAAATTATATTGATTTTAGGTTATGAATGTCGATTTCAATTACTTTTCAATTAATCGTTTAGCCCTAGCTCAGGGTTTTTAACATTAATAAATATTTCTTTGGCAATAAATCAGCATATTTAAATATTTTTTGTTCACTAAAGTTGTTGCTTCATCTTTGAATATTTTTTTCAGTGATTCCTTGGATTTACTTAATTTCTTTAAGTTGTTATAAACTGTTTATTGTGGCTGAATGTAAACAAACAAATTACGTTGATCATTACTAAATTTAATTTGTTTGTTTAAATTCAACCCATATAAATTGTTTGCAATTGTTTTGGAATAAAATATTGGCTGTTTTTCATATTAATAAAAATAAAATAATAATAATATTCTGAATGTCGTTCTTTGCTGTCTATGTTATGAATTACGGCAGCACAATAAAACGTTTCAGCATCAATATCGCAATGTATGCATTTGCAATAGTGCAAATCTGCAATGTTAAGTTTTATTTAGTTGATTATAATCAATGCAGAGTTGAATTATAATGGAGTAAAAATGGTAGTTCACCCAAAACTTAAACTTTACTCACTATTTTCAAACGTTTAGGAGTTTTTTTTATTTTTATGTTGACCACAAAAAGAAGATATTTTAGTAACTCATAAACGTTTCAAACAAGTGCAGGGTGGGTTAAAAGTGAATAAATGTTAATTTTTGGGTGAACTATCCCTTTAAGGCATGTGACTGTGTGAACATTATCTTTGCTGTATTTTATTTAGCCATGCTTGTAAATTATGTTATATATTATTAGAGATCCAATCCCCTACAAAATCACCCCAATCAATCTAAAATGAAGAATTCTTTCCAAATAAAGCCATGTTTGCATCGCAATATTGCAGAAATACAAAATATCCCAATGTAAGATTTTCCCAGTAACGGGCAGCCCTATTATAAATATGGCTGTTTTTAATAATAATAATAACAACAATAATAATAATAATAATAATAATAATATTAAAGTGTATATTAATAAAAATTTGTGGTTTTATTACAACTCCATTGATTAAAACCATATTCAAGTTTCATATTCAAGCATTAAAAGTTGCATTAGTAAAAGTATAAATTATTGTTTAATCAAGGTTTGAAAAAATTCGAACTAATATCATTTGTAAACATAAAAAAAAGAAGTCGACTGGTGTAATAAGTGACATCTGTTCATTCTGAACTCCAGAACATTCCCTGATGTCTTGTTTGTTGTATGTGTTGTGGTTGTATGACCCTTTGCCCTAAGTCTTTTCATCCTTATTATGGATTTGTCCTGTAATGTACTTACAACAGACAGCAGAGGAAGGAGCAGGACTGACTTCAACTCTATTTTGTCTGTCTGTTGGATTAAGTTGTTGAGAATGTTTAACACAGCGGCAGAAAATAACTATCATAACCAGACTTTATGGGATCTAAAGAGAAGAGTGGTGCAGAAGGCTTCATGATGATGAAACCTTGTTGTGCTTGTTTACTAGGTTGTTCTAATTTGTCGTCAGAGGGTTGTCATAAAAATACCCCCCCTACATTATTATAATATGGTTTTATTATAATCAAGAAGTGCACACTGATATGCAATACATACAGTAGTGGATTTCTAAGAATGTGTCTTTTTGCGACTGTATAAAAGAGGGGAAAACGTTGAGAAATTGATTGGTTAGAAGATAGAAAGAAGGTAAATTAACCAGATATAACAGCCTGATCTCACGAGGAAACAAAACTATTTTATGTTTTGTCAGTTTAGAGGCTAATTCGAGTTCAGCCGTATGAAAATTTATGGTTTTTAAAAGGAGGCGTGGCACCCAACTCCATCCTTAAGCCGCCTTTCCACTGCACACGACATTTGGACACGACTGTCGGAATATGCCCCCTTGTGGCAGCCGCACAGTATTTTCAGTGTTGTCGTGCACCATGGGGGAGATGATGATTCTCACGGTGTCCGAAACAAAGGAGGGCAAAAGCAAGAGCCTTTTTCTCTGTGCGTTTACATAGTTTAATGAATGAATGAATACTAGAAACTCATAGACCGCTAAAAAATTGTAGGGAATGTAGAGACAACATTATAAATATATATTTTTATTACTTTCTTAATAACATTTATGAACAGAAGAGTTTTTTTTTTTTGTTAATATAGACTTTTTATAATTAAAACAATAACCAAATAAACTCCTATTTCTCATCTCGCCCGCACGGATCTGCTCGGACAACACTGGAATACATCATATCCGGTCGGCAGGTCGCATACAGTCTTGTCGCAGGAGTTAAAATATTTTAACGGATCCGCAGCTCAATTCGGATCCGAATTTTCTGCATACAGAGATGATCGGAACCATTAGAAATGAATGACTTCCGGTCTGTCGTTTGTCGTTTGTCGTGTGCAGTGGAAAGGAGGCTTTAAACCCAACCATCATTGGTGGATGAGCAAATTGTACCAAATTGTATGAATGAGATTGTACGATTTCATATGAATTAGTCACTAAATAAAAAAGTTACGAGTTGCTGTGAGATATCGTTGGGTGTAAAGAGGAATTACAAGCACTCACAAACCAAGTTTTCTGTAATTTAATGCCAGGGTAACACAACACAAATGTGATATAAATGGATGTTGTTTGAAAGTGAAAGAGTATGAGTAGTTGACAAATGGACACTAAAGATGTTGTTTTTGTAAAACACCAGGTTGAAGAAAAAATTGTTATATAGTTTGAATTAGTGTTGTCAAAACTATCGGCTTTACTGTTTTCAGTAAATTTCTCAGATTACGTCTGTCTTTGTTTTTGGGCGTGGTTAACATACTTAACCACGCCTCTCCAACTAGGGCTTGGCGATATGGCAAAAATGCAGTCATGATGATTATTTTGCATATTGAATGATACATTT